AAGGCCCACCCCACCCCCTTTGACTGTTTTTGGCCTCTGCGCCAGTGGTGGGTTGCACCCGGTTCAGCTGAACCAGTAGTAGTGGTGGTGGGAGGCCCTGCCCACCTGCCCGCTTCTGCCCATGCATAGAAGCATTGTGCGCAAGCATGCGCCCGAACCGGTAGTAAAAATATTTGCAACCCACCACTGCTCTGTGCATCCCGTTTTTGGCCACTGCACGGCCCATTTTCAGGTAATTTCCACATTTCAAATCTTCCAAAAATCTCTTCCCAAGCTTGGGCAAACATGCTTGTGGAGTGCCTGGCAATTTTTTCTGTTATTTATGTGAGTTGTCTGGAACAGTCATGATGTTATTAAAATTATGTATTATTTTAAACATTGCAAGCTGCCAGAATCTGTCTGAAAGTAGGCAACCTCATAATCCAATCAATAATACAATCATGTGAGATGAAATGGCTGATTTAAGACTTTTTCAAAAAATCTTTAAAAATCCTGAATCCCTCCCAAAAGACTGAGGTGATCGCCTCATGTTGAAGAGAGAATGGACCTCCTTCTAACATATGCAAAACTGAGCATAAAATATCACCAGCCATTATTAAAAGTTCCCAAGCAGGTTATGAGGACAAAAAACATTCCCAAGTTTGGGGGGGGGGGGGAATCCACCTAAAGGAGATTCTCTTTTCTCTTTGCTTTACCTAATTTCTACTTTAAGCAATGAAATATAGATGTAGACATTTAAAACAAAAACACATATAATTTCTTAACACAAAACAGTACTTACATTTTTAGATGAAGGACTTAGAAGTGTTGTCTTGGCAACATTGAGGCCATCGATCACAACATCAAAAGGGGGATGTTTGTTCACAAACGTTTGAAAACGTTCTAATTCCTAAAAACCAGATTTTAAAAGAAAAATCACATGTAATCTATATTATAGTAATCTCCTGTATTAGAATTATGTAGAATAGCCTCTAAACAAGACAGGCAGCACATAAATCCAATAAATAAATATTACTAAATTAGAAATGTGACTGATGCATGAAATATTTTCTATAAACAAGTTATACAAAATGTACAAACTTACAAAAGCAATAAATATTTGTCACAAATATTTAGGATAAAATATCAGTAATATAATATGTAATGCTGATTTTAAAAAAAAATTAAAGAAAAATGTTGATACTGATATACAAGCTAGTTAAAATATGCCATCAATTGATTCACATCTAATGAAATTTATGGAATCAGGTTTTACTGTTATATTCAGCCTGGGCAGCCAAGTTATAGCCTCTTCTTCTATAGCCATGGTTCTTAATTTAGGCATATCCTGGAGATAATGGACCGATTTGTATTTGTTTGTTAGTCAAAGGTTCGATTTGGTTCTGCTACTGCCCAGTTTGTGTAAAACAACTTGGCCTGGGGTTTTTGTGGGGGTAATGACATTAAAACTGAGAAAAAGGGTAATTGGGTCCAACAGTTTAAAAACCACTGCAATATAGAAGGAAAAATCAATTGTCCAAACAAACATACAGGAGGAAAAGGTGAAAGAAACTTCACACACCTTACAGGCAGGAAGAATTACAGGCCATGATTACGGAAGAAAAATGTAGGACCTAGCATACTGTAAGTCTAGCATACCGTCTCTCAACCTTGGGAACGTTAGGATATGTGGACTTTCAGAATTCTCCAGCCAGTATGAGTGGACTTGCTGGCTGGGGGGTATCCTGGAAGTCCAAATATTTTAAAGTACAGGTAGTCCTTGACTTGCAACAGTTCATTTAGTGACCAGTCAAAGTTACAATGGCACTGAATGCCTTCCATATCACTTTCAAAAATTACATACAATATGATGACTGATTTGTCTGGACTAATCATATAAAATCAAGTTGCATATTTATTTATTTCCTAGGTCCATAACCCAAGGCAAATTTCTCCTATACTAATAATTTAGTTCTTCTAAGAAAGTAGCCCAAAAATGGGTTCAGCACATACTGAAAACATCAAAGGGAATTCTAGCAATTGTCTTATTTCTCTGTAGAGTGGAGACAATGGGGTTTTTTGTTACTCCAGCAGCAGCTATATCTAAAGGGAGAAGAGCTCTGATTGAATGATGACTTTTGTATTCACCATTGGAGCACTAATTAGCTTACAGTTAGGATTTTCATATTTTGCAGATTTCTGACCTCCTAAAGTGACAAATGAATCTGTACAATTCCCTAACTGGTTCTGGTAGAATGGAGGTGATTTCTGACCTGTGATCTATCTTTGCATATGCAACCTATCAAGTTTAACAAAGCCAGAACTTTGTAATAACTCATTCCCTACTGTGCTTGGAAAAAACAATATGTACCGTATATACTCGAGTATAGGTCGATCCGAATATAAGCCGAGGCACCTAATTTTACCACAAAAAACTGGAAANAAAAAAAAAAAAATACCATATCTTATATTTTATTGACCTGTAGATCATTTATCTTCTGATTACTGCTATTAAAAAGACCTACCTCAACTACCAAAGAATTCAGGTGCTTTGAATATCGGGGTATGTTGTGCTCTATGACAATAACTGAAAGTTATACAATAATTGATAAGAAAGATGTAGCCGTCTACTCTTATATCATTTTCCATAAGCTAAACACAGCATTTTCAACTGTGCCCGGTAATAAACAGAAATTCAATTCAATTGTTTCAAGACCATTATAATTAGATGTCAAATGCTTTTCTAATAAACGTCTGTCTTTTCGCACAATCCAATATTTTTTTTGCCTCGTGTAAAGCACTTTAAAGTAATCTAAACTATTGAGGAAATTAAGGCATGAACACAAGGCCAAGTCTTATTTATAACAAGGAGCAGTACAACTGACTCACCGAATAAAGCTGAATTTGACCAGCTAAATTATTTCAATTATTTCTTTAGAGGACCGGCTTCTGTATATTACTCTGATCTTTTAATAGTTGCATAGATTAGAGATGTTGACATCTCCAGATGTTCAAATCCCTGCAGTGCATGACATAACAAGCAGTTGCTACTAAATTCCCTCTTGTACATAATGATTAGAAATGTGGATTTATTCATATGGAAAAATTGCCCATCTTGGATTTAAGTGATCAGAAACAGATTTGTTCTCCACATTTCTATCCAGAATGGATTGTTTTCTTTCTTTTTTTTCCTGAGCTGGCCTACCAAGCTATCTTTAACTCCTTCCTCATATTTATCCTTTCTTTGTGAAGGATTAATTAAGAAGGCAAAACTTTCCATGACTCTCCTACTTCAGGGATTTAAAAAATTGCATTATGTGATTACTGTGAGCACACAGTGATCAAAGTTTAACAGTATTTAACCTAATGAAAGCTCTGACGATGCTGTCTCCAAATGCAACTGTTAAAGGCCTACAAGAGAAAGGAAGGCCATAAAAGCAGCGGCAGCTCCAAATGAGTTCGGCCCATTTTTAGAATCTAGGTTTATGCAATTGTACGAAGAAGTCTAAGAGCGTCTTTAAACCATACTCAGTCAAATAATTCATAATTAAAATGTCCTCAATATAGGGTTGACCATGGTCTGCTTTAAGATTTCCAAAGAGTGGAAGTCCATCATAACTGGCACAATAAAACAATACAAGTAGTCCTTGAGTTATAACCACAATTCATCCCCAAATTTATGTTGCTAAGTGAGACATTCGTTAAGTGACCTCATTTTACAACCTTTCTTGCCACAATTGTTATGTGAATCCCTGAAATTGTTAAGTTAGTAACAGGTTGTTAAGTGAATGTGGCTTCCCCATTGATTTTGCCTGTTAGAAAGTAGCAAAAGATGATCACATGCAGCTGTCATAAATATGAACCAGTTGCCAAACATCTGCCTTTTGTTCACGTAACCATGGAGATGCTGTAATGCTCGTGAGAAAAACGGTCATAAGTCACTTTTTTCAATGCCGTTGTAACTTTGGTCACTAAACAAACTGTTGTAAGTTGAAGATTATCTGTAACTGAGTTTGAATGGGATGGTTTTATTTATTTCTTCAGTTCTGAAGCGCACAACAAACATTTCTATTCTCCTCATTCCCATTATCCTGATACCCTTCACCACTGCTATCCTGTGCTTGACGCATTAGAGAGAAAGGATTACGTTGAACACAGACATGTTTGCACTTAAATGCCTTTTTGCATTTTATACATGCACTAATGCATTTCATGCATGACTAAAGATAACATGAAATTTAGCTGCTGAGTGTGCTAGTCAGAAGCAGCTTGAGGGCACTTCTGGCTGTTGAATGGAGGAACATATGGTTGGCTAGTAAGTTTGAGGTATCATCTCACCTAACAAAAGTCAGGGATGGCAAAGTATGTGGGGTTGGGGGTGAAGATTTATGTTGGACAGAAGACAGGAAGTAACATCCAGGTGGGATGGCCAGAGGGAGATATGGTGGCACTCTTGGGGCAGTCTGTCAACAACAAATGCGGCATTCATATTTGAAACCAGTATTCAGTCCTGATGTCAGGCCACTAACTCACCAACTCCAGTCTTGTAGGAGATAGACCAGATTGAACTCAAGGGCAGAGTCAAACACACCATCAGTTTGGAGTTTCTGCACTCCCAAAAGACACTTAAATCCAATCCCCCTTGAAGTTCATTGGCTCTTACCTGGCGTCAATTTGCCATAATTGTTAGTAGTTCAGATTCTTGTGCATAGGTAGAATAAAATAAATAGGTTGTACTTTTGAACTCTATCCTGATTCCTCATGTCTTGCACCTGATATGCCTCCAGTTATTGCTGATGAATGTTAATCTGGTTTCTAGCACAGCTTTCCCTGTGCATGATCTTATTTTGTACCTGGCATGTATAACCAAGATATTTTCTGCCAAAACCTGGGCTTTGAGAGTTTTTTTTTTTTCTTGTCAGATGAAGGTTTATGATCACATCCCATGGACTCACAGAGTTTTTTTTCCTGGATCTTCATGGTAAGTCAGTGTTTCATTGGTTATGAAGAAATGCTCATCTTCATTCTCACAGCATGACAACAATTTTTGTCAAAGTTCAACTCTTAAAGCTTCCATCTTTGCCTTCAACAGGCAAGGAAACCATCATGCTATTGAAGAACAATGTGACCCTCACATTAAAAATCTGGTTTACTTAGTAAGTGTGCAACCCAGAAGTGGGTTCCGGCAGCCACTACTGCTGGTTTTCTTGTGGGCGCACTGCACACACATGCACATTACAATAAAAAATGTTCTGCACATGTGCAGAACTGAAAAACAAGATGGCACTATATATGCGCCACCCAGAGAACCAGTTTGGGGGTGTGGCACGCCTGGGCCATTGACAGTTCCAGCAACCCAGGCTGCCAAACCACTACCAGTTCAGCTGAACTGGTCCAAACTGGAAGGAACCTACCAGTGGTGCAACCTACTCACTGACAGATAAGTACCGGTATGTGGGAAGTGTCTAATCTGCACTATAGGCACAAAATGAATGCTGTGAAACATGGTGATGACCTGAGACAACTGCATTGTATGAATTTTTCATTAGGATATAGAGATAGAGGTAGGATGTCTGTGTGTGAAAAGAGAGAGAGAGGGACAGACAGAGAGAGATACAGAGAGACACAGAGAGACAGAGAGTTCATTAACAGTGACAGAATGTGTAGCTATGGCAGCTGATTTCTCACTAGTACATTTTCCAGCTACATCCTGGAAATCTTTCCTTTGGGAAGGGTTAAGAAGATTCCTTTCCTTTCTTCTTGAAATTATATTTATATTGTCTCTCTCTGTCTGTCTATCAAGCTAACATTTTTACTAGGACATTTAGACCTTACTTACTCTAACATAATGAGTTGCCCTCTACTGGATGCTTGTCCAAAGCAGGGCATATGAAAAATAGAATGGAATAT